AACACAGAGGCACACAACCATGCCAATTAACTTAAGAGTCATGCTTTTGTGGGAAAAATCCAAAGCCCCTGGAGAGAACCCACAGATGCACAGGAAGAACATGCAAACTCCATGCAGAAAGACCCGGACCGCGAACATTCTTACTGCAAGGCAGCAGTGCTCCAAACTGTGCTGCCATGCAGCTCTATTCTTAAACAGCCAAATTAAATATGACATTTATTCTCTACACAAACATGCTGTTGTGCAGCTCTGAAACTTTCAGGTAAAAAAAATTGTGGAAACCCTTAAGTCCATGTTTTCTTTCTGCTGTTTTGTTCAATGGGATTCTTAAGCTGTAGCATGAGACCGATAAGTGGACCCTGGTTCAGCCGACTCCCACCACCCCCTGCTGCACTGAATGCTTTAAATATTTGACACGATTAAGATTACTACATGAATTTTATGCCTCGAGGCGCCACATTTTACATCCAGCAGCCTTTCACGTGAGCTTTCTGTGAATCAAGGTAGATTTCAGACTGAATAGTTTATATGTTAAGTCTAAATATACATTTTTGTATGGTTATTCAACAGCTCTTTTTTTTCAGGACGAACATTCAGTGTTAAACATTTTTGTAAAATAAAGTTTTGGGTGGACCTTTGGAACCCAGTGAGGATTTTCTCCTCACACAGAAACACAAAGGACTCTGATGGTCAACTGTACCTGACAAGATTAGCTTTTTGTGTCGTTCATCCTGTCCATAGAACCACCCTGTTTGGTTTAAACTGGAGGGTTTCCAGGCATGGATCCTGTTCAAAGTAAATATTCAACCAGGATGAGGTCAGGGGTCGTTCCAAGACTGAATGTTTGTGTCCAAGTTTCCATCTAACCAAAACTGTTCCCACAGATGGAACTAAATGGTCAGGAGCTGGAGTACAGTTTAACATTAACATGGACAGAGAGACTACTGACGAAGACACCTTCAAACTTGTCCACATGGAAAACCTCATTGGTCATCTTCTCCTGGACAAGATCTCCATCAGGATCCGCAAATCCCATGCAGGAACATCACAGATCAAACTGATGTTTTTTTTGTCACACAATCTAAGCCCCGCCCCTCTAACTTCTGTGCTGAGAGGTTCACTCAATCCAGCTCTGAATCCAGCGGCCCAAAATACCTGAATCTGCTGAGTATCAATCAAAGCAAAGTTCTCATAAAATCCTTGGGAATCCTGACCAAGTGATCCAGTTTCACAACCCACCGCTTTTGATAACTGCTTTTCCCCAATTTCCCGAAATGCAATTTTATCTGAACTAGAAAGATTGTGAAAAATAGGTTTCAAACATGTCGTTCAATACTTTGCATAAAGCAACCTTTAGAAACCTCCCATTTGTTTATGAATCCCACACAAACACAATTTTACCACCATTAAAGAACACCTTCATGAAGGGGACACAAATAAATCAATGTCAGCAGAATCTTTACATTTTTATATGCTTCTTTAATTAATGATTAACAGCATGGGTAAAAGAATGATCAATATGCGCTTTATTCAAAAGAGGCCTTCTGGCAAACGCTACAGGTCAATGAAACCTCACTGGTCTGCAAGAAAATGAAATACCCTCCCTATAGACCACATGCACTTTCAAATATATTGTGACACTGTTTTTATTATTTAACATCTTCTTCTAATCACATGTTATGCAAAATGATGTCAGTTAAAGCTTTTAATTCTACTATTAACATTGAGACAAAAGCCTTATGGACAAGAGTTTACAGCTAGCATTGAGGTGTTTGAAGGAGTTAAACCCACTGAAAGCCATCTGAGCTGTGAAGCATGGTATAGGTAGCATCATGCTGTGGGATTGATCCCTTAGCAGTGTAATGGTGTATCTCATGATGGAGGGGGGAAGTAATGAAGAAGGTTCTCTTCAGCTCAAAGGCTGAAAAAGGAAGATGGATTTGCAGACAGAAAATCAATCCAAACCACACACTCAAACTGGTTTCAGTTCTTTCATTCAGTTCCTGGAATGACTCCTTACTCCAAACCTGTTAAAGATGTGTGGACAATGCAAAAAGGCGAACGTCTACCAGATCAGCCAGATTAAAAAATGAAATAACTGCCACTGAGAGCAGCCGAACATGTAGCCCAAATGATGCTAGTAGCTTGTTAAGGAATGTGTTTGTGGTTCAGCTTGCTAAAAAAAAAAACATCTCAGCAAATATTAGTGAGGATAAATATATATTTGAGCGGGCATCTATTTATATTTGTTAAAGAAATTTCTAGATTAGTTCTAATGACTTTAACCAAGTATATAATTCCCTGAGCTCGGTTTTGCATAATAACTTCGCATAAACAAGGATTGCTGAACTAAAAGTTAAAAGTCTGAAAGGACATTCATGACCAGTGGAAGCAAACTGGTTTCAGAGTCCATTCAGCTCCTAGTTCTCCTCTATGAAGGTTTAGGACAAAGGTTCTGTGTCTGCAGCTGGGAAAGGGAACAAGTGGGAAGCAGGAATTTCCAACAACTTCAAAAACTGCTGAGGATGTTGTTGAATTGAACCATCAGCACTTTACTGTGTGCAGGATTGTAACAAAAGCATTCGAAGGCCGAGTGAAAAAAAAAATACTTCAGAGAAGAGTCTTTAGTTCTGATTCTATGTAGCAGAAAAGGTTCTCTTCTGCACTAAAGAGCCCAAGGAAGAGATTATGATGCATTGCTAACAGAAAAACAAAACAGCAATTAACCAAACAGTTTTGAGTCTGCAGCTTCCGTCAGACAGACAGCTGCCAGTTTCTGGTAAATGCAAAGATTCTGCATACCTTTTCTGAACACATTTAAATGCATCGAGAAACATCCAGTAATTGCAGATTAGAAGAAAAACAGCTACAGTACAATGATACGATTAGAATTACTATCAGCATCAAGGTTATGTTTTTTTTTTGTTTTTTTTAAATCATAATGATCTTTATTGTTTAGAAGAAAAAAGAATCATATTTGAAAGCTCAGAACCTTTTTTAGGTCAGAACATGATAGCAAAGCAAACATCATTGTGGTGTTCAGGACAAATGGCATAACATGAGCCATCCCTAATCACTAAGCAGATTGGCTTTTATTGTGATATGATAAATAATATTTAAAGGTTCTTCAACTTTTTTTAAATTCATCCTCAGTTGACAATTTTTAGAGAGAATTATTTAAATAATTTCAGCCTCTGACCTATGAATCTTTGAGGTACTCTATATGGTGGCTCTTAAACCAAGAGGATGATCCTGTGTTGTTTCTAGGAGCCGGCTTTAAACTTGATCTTAATTCAATGTATTGTTAAAGGACATTGTAAATTAATTAACAGTAGAACTGTAAAATATAATGGAGTTTGCCAAAAGACTAGTTTGCATCTGTTGTTCTTGGCAAGATGTGAAAAAGGCACCTTAAACAGAAGAAAGAAAATTCATCGTCACTTTCAGCCTGCAGTTTGAAACAAAAACAGTTTGATCCAAATTTCCTCCATTAAACTGTCATTTCCTCTAAAATAGTGACATTAAAAGCATTTAGGCTGCAAAAGTGTTTAGAATCTCATGTTTACATTGTCCCTTTCTGCAGCAGCAGCTGATGGAACAACACAGAACATAACAGCGAAGCTGGAAAGATTAAATACTTCCTCCCCTGAGACCGTATTTCATCTGTCTCAGTGGAGGCAGTGTACAAATCCATGCCACACCTTTCACACTTGTTATGGGGGAAAATATCTCAATGTTAAAAAATGTGGAAGGTTGAAGATATATGAAAACTTTTTGAAGGATCTATATTTAAATTAAGCTTTAAGAATTATTGGGTTGAGATTTAAAATCCGAAGAGATTTAAAAATTGCTTTGAAGAAATCAAACCGAGCCATTGTTAGAAGTGCATCATCCTTTACAACCTGACTTCAGGTGTGATCAATGTGGGTTTTTTTCACTCAATAAAATAAACATGGGTATCCATATGAAATCCTTTAACTATCTAAAGCTTTTATCATTAGAATTTCTGAACTGTAGAGCAGAAGAAGCTGAGGAGTCTGGATCAGTTCAGCTTTCCATCCAAGATTCTGAAGGATAAAAACCAAACTCAGAGTTCTAAGAGCTGATTTGAACAAAGTAAAGTAAGGAATTATATTTAATGATTTGAAGTTCATTATTTAACAGAAAGAAAGATTACTCCCATTTGGAACACATTTAAAAATGGCTGCCAACTGTCAGGCTCGGTGGTGGAAGGCTGATGATTTGGACTGGAAGGTATTTTTCGATCATGAATTTCTCGATATCATCAAGTATTCCTGGATGAAAATGTGTCTGAGAAATGAACCCTGGTCTAAACTGGATCATCATCAGAATGGCCATAGATGAGGAAGCGCTTTCTTTATTGCAAAGCACTGCCTAATAGGCTCTATGCACAGCTCCACTACTTCCTGAATTTAAGGCAGCTCCTTTGTTTCCTGTCTTTCATGATTGGATGCACTGATTAATCCAGGTGTGTATGACCTAAGTAACTGGCCAGACACACCTGGATTAATCAGTTCGTCCAGTAATGAAAGACAGGAAACAAAGGAGCTGCCTTAAATTCAGGAAGTAGTGGAGCTGTGCATAGAGCCCATTGTGCCATGGCAATAATATTGGGTTTTTTTTTGCAGGTGTGCCTTCATTTTGGGTCACATTATTACATTTCTGCAGTGACTCGGTCCAACTGTATAAAAATTATATTAGCGTGAAAAAACCTTCAAGACTAGGAATATGTTAGCCAATAATTACTGCCCTTCAAATGGAGATTTGGACATTGGACATGGTGATGTTTGCACAATAATTTGTGATTTACAAACTCCCAGCTATGTCGATTTTACCTTCCAACCAGGAAAAAAAGCTATTTTTATCTTTTTATTTAGTGCTTAGGAAAAAAGCTGTAATTAGAAGGATTCAGATAATATTAATAAATCAAATTAAAAGGAAACAGAAGACTCGAAAAGCAAAGAAAAATACACAAAAAGTGGAAAAAATGGAATTTATTGTAAAGCACTTCTCACAAAATGCCCTGTAAACAAATCAGAGGGACTAACAACAATAAAAGCAATCTAAAAAAAAATAAATAAATAAACATTTCTACAGTCTTACACAGGTTAGTTTGCCAACGTCTTTTACGAAGGCTGGAGTGTTAGGAAGGTTTTCTACCACTAAGACTCGTTAAAGCCTCCTGTTTCTTCTACGGTGACACTTTGTGCACCTTTGGGCAGGAGGGGCTTGCAGTTAATTATAATAATAAAACAGCTATGAAAGTAACTGTGAAATAAGACAGAAACATGAGAATAAAGAGTTAAAAAACTAACACTTGTGTGATCTGAAACTGGGCTCGTTGGGCACTTTGACAAATCTAAAACTAAAAACTCCTCTGTGACATTTCAACCAACAAATACTAGAAAGGCCTTTGCACACCAGCTCCGTGTTTGTAGCTATAATTCAAATTCATAATAAGTTATTACTGAGCTGAAAATAACTTAAAAAAGGAGACAATAAAGTGAAACAGCAAACCCTCCCCCCCTTATGTTTATATCAATTTAAAGGATCCAACCTCTACTTAATTTGGTGCTAAACATCTTTTAATACAAAGTGCATTGTGCTGGAAACAAAGTGAATAGGATTACTTTTAGGTTTGGATCTGAATGTTTAAAGACAAACTGAGCCCGAAAATTCAGAAATTGTCTGAATGGTTGATTAGTTTTTGTTTGCAGTGATGCTTCTTGGCAATGAATCGGTTTTCAACAAAAATCCTTTTTTTTGGTGCTACGTTTGTAAGAAAAACATGTTTGTAGGTTGAAAGTTTTTGCTGCTCCATGTCTTTTGTTGGGTAACTTTAGTTTAAAGAAACAAACCTTGCCTTGGCAGTGCTTAGGAGAAACATACTACATGTCGGTCAATCATTAATAAGGGCATCTTGTTCCTCAACCAGCATTTGCAAAAAAATAAAACTCTGCCAATCCTTCAATCTTATTTGAAAAAATGCCTCTCTGTTTGGCAGAGAGGCATTTTGGCAACACCGCTGCTAAACCCCCCAAAAATGCATTTGTTCTTACAAATGTGGCACCAATTAACCGGATCTAATCAGGTATAAAAAGGATGGAAAAACAAATCAGCCAAAAGCAAAAACTTAGTTAGTTGGTAGGTACTAAGGTAGCCCAGTAACTCTTAGATATTTAATATATAAAAATAAAAACATAGGATAAACTTACTCCAGTGTCAAAAACGGAAGACAATATTCAGTGTCTAAATGTAAAACCCCAAAATACAGATCAATATGCAAAGTTAGCTTTTTAGCAGTCAGAAATTGTTGATTAGTGGTTCTCCAGGTTTCCTGCAGGTTTCCATTCTTTCTGGACCCTCCCTGCTTTTCGTGTCATCTCACATAACAAATGGAAGGAAAGACTGATGTAGCAATGCCCCTAAAGTTGCCGCCTGAGTCAAGCCTGTGAATGTCTCATGGGTCAGAGTTAAGTGGCTCAAAACCAACACTTTGTCTGGGATTTGGAGGTTCCTAAGGAAATAAACTGAAAAGAGCTACATTTTCATTTTTGGCTAATGAAAGAAAAAGGCAAATCTAAAGCACTGCACATGCAAAACATAACATCTAAGTGGATTTGCAAAAAGTAAAGCAGAATTGACATTTTAAATAAGAAAGATTAGTGAAAAAGAAGCAAAATTCTAAAGAAAACCGTTGGAAGAACCTCAGAGAGAAAACTACTACTCAAGAATTCCTGCTCTGACTGCTTGGAATGAAACCCACATATATATTTGTAGGGTACAATAAAAGTTCTTATTCAACAACAAATACAGAGGAGTGTGCAAAGGCCTGGATTTGAACTAAAACAGAACAAAACTCATAAGAAAACTTGGTCAGTTTCAAGAAAAATTTCAAAAGATTTGGATTCATCTCACAGCCACGCCCCCTCCCCCACTCCATCACTCACACAGACAACACACATACCTGCTTTTGGCCCCCTATGCCAGCCCAACACTTAATGACGCAGCCTGAGACGCTGCCTTTATTGGGTTGAGCGCATTGATCCCCACAGATAACATCTGACCAACGACCTCAAATAAACAACACTAACGAGACGGCATGTCAGAGAGTTGCTGCCTTTGAACGGAAAAACATCTGATCGCTTCAGATTTAAAAAAAAAACAACAACCCATGAGGCGATAACAAGCTGGCACATTATGCGGACCTGCATGAAAGCGAAAGCTCACATTTATAGCAACACAGATGATGGATCGGGCTCCATTAGGCTTCGATCCGTCACAGTGAGTCCAGAGGTCAGGAGCATCATGGTGACCAACAGACGCTCAGCAGCAAGACGACAAAGAAGTGATGGCTTAAAACTCAAACATCTGCCTCTAACGTCTCTAAACTAAAAGCTGAAAACATCTAAACAAAAACAAGAAACGGATTTCATAAAAGAGTTGATGCGCAACAAGAGCTTAAAATGGTCGCGAATAAAAGCACATAAAAACAACAGATCAGCTGAGGAACAATACAAACAGAACGCTGACGACACTGTCCTGATCAGCAGTCTGCACACGTGTGAGAGAATGTGTGTGTTAGCGTGGGACAGAGTGGGGTTAGAGACGTCAATGGAGGTCAAACTTCATCTGCTCTCATGTCGGTGCCCAGAGGTCACTTCAGGCGCTTTCTGTAGAGGTGAAAAAAGGCTGACGGCCGTTTAGGACTCCTGAGGCACCACCTCCATTACCTTCTGAAACCAGGCGGTGGTCTTGTCTGCAAACACACAGAAAAACAATTTGTTTGTTATAAGATTGACAACTTTTGACTCCATTTATAAGGGGTATGCACGTGATTAAAAAACGTTAACTTGTCCTATAAAGGGTTTTAACCATTAGGTCAGTTCACTTCAATTAAAAGCAGCAAAAATCTCTCATTTATTTACCCTGATGCTGCATGTAATTATGATTATTATTAATAACCAACATAAAGAACCTGAAAAAAAAAATAAGTTGAATCTTTTTGACGGGTCCTTTTTTGGAACATTTCATGTCTTAAAGAAACTTCTTGTTAGGATTCCAGTTTGTGTGGGTTGTTTTTGTGTTCTTCTTCTCCCCACCACCAGATGGTGCTCTGTCCTCGTTGGGCCTCCTTGCACACCTGTGGCTCGTTGGGTCATTACCAGAGGAGTATTTGAGCAGCGGGCTGTCACTACCTCGACGCCAGCGTGTTTGCCAGTATTGGGTACTCTAGCCATACTGAGATTAGCAGAGTCTAACCTTAGTCTAGTCTCTCTGGGTCTAAGCTTGTTTTTGTCTTTTTTCTTCGGCAGGAAGCCTTCCTGAAACACTGATCTGAGTCACACTAAGCAAGGGGAAACCTCCACATGATCCATTTAAGTCCACCTCTGGAAAACCAGGTGACAGTCCGCTCCTTTACTCCTCTGGGTCCAACGTTAGTCTGCCTGTCCGCTCTCGAATGAGTCCCTTCTTGTCTGGATTTGATCCCACAAACTGGATCCAAGGAATAACCAAGAGCCCCCCAAAAATGAGTGCCTCTCAAGCAATATAGAAGCCTCGATCTTTTTCCCACGGTCCCTGAACTGATCATTATGATCTCCCCTTGAGAGTTTCCGGTTCACCAGTACGCTCAGGTCCAACAGTATTACCCAGCAGAATATCTCTCCATCTGTGTTTTTGCTTACCCACAATAAACCGATTAACTTTTACCCTTGGTCTCTGAGTGGTTCTCTGCATGTGAGTCAGATCTTTCAAGCCCATTATGACACTTCTTTAGTCTGGGGCAGATGTTCTCATCCTGTAGGGAGGAATACTACTTGGAGAGATGAGTAAAGGAAAAGAAACCATCCATCTTTAAATGGGATTGAGGTCTTCAGGTCCAATTGTCCCCCTCTTACAATACTGTTATTGTGAGCATGACTCAGACCACTGGGAGCAATAAACGTTCATTACAGCACTAATGATTGGTCGTTAGGCTGTTGGTCACCGTTTTCAAGTGATCCATGATGCAAAAGATTCTTTTGAAAAGTTTAACTGTAATTTCACAGACTGAAGACGTTTCTTGGAGGAAGGAAGAAATATTTCAACAAAGAAGAACCGTCAAGACAACATAATAAAGTTTTTTGGGGGAGTTCTAACTCCATTATTGAGATTAGTCAGAACATTAAATAAATAATGAAAATGTATTGATAAATAAATAAAATAACAGTCAATCCAGACAAAGAAAGTCATTTCAATTTTGATTTTAGTTCCCTTAATGTTTAGTTTAAACATTTAATTATTTTGGGAAATTGTCTCATATCAGTTTAACAGTACATCATTGTTAAACCAATAAAGCAATAAAATTCTCTTTTTGTTCAGATTAAATAACTCACAGAGTTTAAATAAATAAACGAAGGAAAAAGGAAAAAAGAAATCTAGTTAATGTAACAGACCTTCAGTAAACCAAAAACGTTTCATTTGTTAGAATGATAGAATACATAGAAATTAAATTTTTAGAAAAATATTTAGATTCACTAAATCTATTTGAATTATGTTAATTATTCTTAACCCAACTTGAAAATGTTCATTGAAAACATTTAGTATTAATCAAATATTAATTGATTCATGGACAATTGATATGAAAAACAATTTCTCCATATTCTGATTCCTGCAGATAAACTGCATCATTGATGCGGCAGCGATATGGTAAAAGCAGGAAGTCTAGTTTTATGATCTCCACTGAGCGAAGTCACTGAAATCACCAAAACCATCTGGAAATGATGTTTCAGGTCATGCATCACATTACATGGGATTTTTTTAGTTTTTCTTATTTAAAGAATGTGAAAAATACAGTTTAGTCAAAGGTAGTGGAATGCATAGTTAGTGCTGGAAGACAGAAACCTTAAGGTCAAAAGATGTGGGAGAAAATTAAGTTATTCAATCAAAGACACTTTGGTTTAAATACTTTTTATCCCTTAAAAAGGAGAGTTTTCACTCACAGATGGCTCGCATCATCCACTTGGGCTTGTTCTGCCACCAAACGCCGATGAAGTAAACGGGCAGTCCGGTGGCGATGATGCCGAAGCCAATTCCACATTCTTTAGGCGTCTTCCAGAAAGACACGATGATGAGGAAAAGGCAGGCGAGCACGAAACTAATAGGCAGCAGGATGTTGACCTGCAGGGAGCAGAAAGAGACGGTGTTTAAGACACTGGATGGATGGATGGATGGATGGATGGATGGATGGATGGATGGATGGATGGATGGATGGATGGATGGATGGATGGATGGATGGATGGAATAACGGAGGGAGGAATGGATGGATGGATAGGTGGTGGATGGGTGGAAGTATGGATGGATGGAACGATTGATTGATGGATGGTAATTAATAAGTTAATAAGACTGTAACCCTTCAGAGAAAAAGAAATAAGCACAAACACAAAAAATGTTGATTGGAGCAAATCTGTGTTCTTAGAAGCAGCAAGAAGAAAATGTCCTTTAAAAAAAGACATTTCTTTCACCAATCACGCTCAGCCTGTTTGGGACGGTGCTTCTCAGATGAACATAACCAACAGGAGATCTACAACATCTACTAGAAAGCGGCTGCTTGGAAGGAAATAAAAATGTAACAAGAGCAGGCTGCTCTGTATGAAACGAAAAAGTTCAACAGGGAGTAGTAGACTGATTTCAAAGGTTTTAGAACAGGACACCCAGTGCTCTCATTCTGTAATAAAAGTCCATGCAGGCCGAACGTCCACACGTTAATCATCTCCGGCAGGATTCATTTTCAGCAGTCCAACAGGGAATCAGCTGAGCAGCAGGAATGTGACAGTGAAAGAAAACAGTGAGAGGATGCACTCTGTCCCTCCATCAGCCTCTTTGTATTTCTCCGACATCCAACATCATGCCAGGGAGCAGTGAAAGCAGCCACCCAATGCTTTCTTTACTCACACTTTTCAGAAAGTCTCAGCAGGCAGACACTTACAGCCACCCTGCAGACATCAGCCCCAGCTGATAGGATTCCTGCTTCATTTCTGCTATTTGATCAGAATCCAGATTCAGTCGAGGGAATCTGACTGAATCTTTGTCACATGGGACAAAGAAGAATCCGACACTGGGGGATCTGAACCAAAGACATTTTATGACCAGTAACCATGCAGCAGCTGAGTCCACCAATGACTCTGCCCTGTGCAGCAAACACCAAATGATCCGAATAAAATCCAGAACAGAACGACTACTTCTTCAGAAACAAACAGGGCGATGCTCCTCCCAAACAATCTGCTTTGACTCACTTTAATCGGCCGCTCCAGCTCAGGCTTCTTGTAGCGGAGCCACATCATGCCGATGATCGCCATGGCGATGCAGAGCCAGTTGAAGAAGCTGAAGAAGTTGATGACGGAGAAGATGTCATCGGAGAAGGCATAGAGCAGCGTCATCAAACACTGCAGGGAGAAAAACAGGCAGCAGGGTTATTCAGCACTAAGAGGATAAAAAAAAGAGAGATTTAGCTCTAAGATGCCAACATTAACAGCTAAAAGTTAGAATAAATGTTCTATATAAAAACTTTCTGCATGGTTTCATTAATCTATTAAACCAGTGAGGTGACCTAAAAAGACCCTTTGCAGAAACGCGTCAGTTTGCTGATTTAAACATCACTCAGATGTGTTCCGCTCTCATTAATGTAATCCATGTTTAAATCAGCTGATAGTAAAAAGAACGCACTGTGAAGATAAGTGATGGCAGCGGCGTGAGCAGCGAGGGATGGATCATGGATAGCAGGCTGGGCAGGTGACCCTCCCGGGACCCCACAAAGAATAACCTGTCAGGGAGAGAAGATAAGTGAGCCGAACCGCTCATGCCTTCTATCAGGTGTTCTGCATCACCGTAGTTAAAAAGTCATGTGTTACCTGGATGATGTGAAGAGAGAGCCGTTTACTGATCCAAAGCACGACAGACCCACAAAGACGGGGATGATCCATGCCATGGGGCCCAGGTAATAGTTTCCAAAGTCCTGCAAGGCAAATATACACAGTATAAGAGCTAAGTTTTCTCTGTTAGGTGGAGGAGGGAGTAACCCATCCTTTATATTCAGATTGAGGAGCTGTAGTTAATCTGCTAATTGTGAAACTCCTCTGAATGAACCTGCAATACAGCAGATATTTGATCCTACGAATGTATAAAACGCATGTTAATGATCAATCACCAAATAATGTGAGGAAGTGCGAGAACGAAGAGTGTTGTCTGGTAGCCAGTTTCATCAGACGCCCAACAGAGGCGCTCAATGTCTCCTTCTGGTTTTACTGACGAGATATTCTGTGTTATGAAAATGAATGTTTATATATGCTGAATTTTTACCACAGTTTGTGTGTATGTGTTGAAAAAAAAAGTATTTGGATTACAGCCTGTTATTAATATCATAGTAAGCAGTTGATAGCTAACTTAGTTAGCATTAGCCTAGCCACAGCCTTCAGTCTGACTTGATCATATGCAGCACTGCTTTTTTGTTTACAACACATGCTTCACTTGCATGTGCCAAAATATAAATGTAATATCATCCAAAATATGATTTTTGTCAAGTCAAGTAGAACAAAAAAGGCTGAAGGTTAAATATGAGTAACATTTAGCCACTAGGGGGAGCTAGACCTGTAACTTCCAGTTTTAGTGCCCCTGAAGGCTGCTGGTAGCACTGCTGTTGCAAAATGAAACTGTATCCTTCTGTGTTTTGGAATCTGATAGCAGACCGCTAATCTAATCTCTAATCGGCATCTAATCTCTTTGACATGATGATGGAGCTGAAACCAACCAAACCGATTAATAAAATCATCACTGTGTGAAGTTTGTCCTTAATAATAGGAAGGACTTGTGACATTTCTGCAACTCACCACAGCGACAGCCTCTGAGTTGAGCATCTCGTCGGGGGAGAGCGTAGTAAAATAGGCGAGGTTGGTGAGGACATACACAGCTGTGACGATGGGCAAAGAAATGATGATGGCTCGGGGAAGGTTTCTGAATGACACACAGAGAGCAGACCGTCGGTGGTTAGGAAAGCTCGTGCTGCAGCTGCCGCCTTTTAGCCGTCACACGTTCTCACCAATCAGATACCTACTTGTAAGGTTCGATCATTTCTTCTGTAACAAAGTTCAAGTAGTTCCTGTAATTAAGAGAGACACATGTTAGATAAACTAGAACCTTTTAGACCAAATAAAAAAAAGTGAAGATTAGATTGTGTTAGATTCACTTGTTAAGACGATGGAATTGAATCATTGATGGATTTATAGAAGAAAGGAGAAGCTGCGGATTTATATTCCTGCATTTGATTTCCCAGATGTTTATAAAGTTCTATATGGGCTTGCCTCATTAAGTTAAATGCTGATTGAGTTGAGAGCATAAAGGTGTCAGTAAGCTCATTCAGATGCACAAAGTCTCTCTTTTCTGTCACCTGTTTCAACACTCAATATTTATCTAATTGTGAGGTAAAGCTGAGAGGCAAAGTTCTTAGCAAAGCTGCTTTCTTACTTCCTAAAACAAATGAAAATACATCAGAGTTTTTTGCATATTCCCACTTAAGCTGCGTTGTGCATTGGAATCAGGATTCTACATGTCTGTAAACTGATGATGCTTGAATTGATTTTTGGACTCACCAGCCACCGTAGGCAAACAGGCCACTGTAGAGAGCCAGGCCGATGTTACCGAAATTATAATTTGATCCCTTGAAGGAGTTTTCAGGAAGGAGTTCATCCGTTCCACCTGAAAAAAAAGGCTTAATTTAGATCAGAAAAATAAAAACCTTACAGGCTTGTTTCTGCTGAGACTTGGAACAATGAATAAAGTCGGGTTGTTTTGGTCCACACACACTAGTCAAACCCTGAAGGAAGGACAAAGGTTCACCCTAAATTTGTCTTGTGTGAGTGGATTAACAGCTTGGAACACTCAAAGGATTTATGTGGCTCGGGAAATGGAAATGATTCAGATCAACAAGATCGTATCGTCTTTGCTTTTCAGACCAAACTGAAGCATTTACAACTATGATGAGATTCTGCCTTGTGTCTCCGACTTTAGGGATTCTGCCAGTCTGAGGGGCTCAGCGCCACATTCCTGCTCCCCTCAGCATCCCTGCACATTCCCAGACATGGCGACGGTCGCTAAACCAACAGCCCTGGGCAGTGTTGGTAGAAGGAGGGTTAGCTATAATCCAGTGTGGGAAACAGTCAGGTTCGTTGATGTCGAGAGATGGACGGTCTCACACAGACAGATCCGTGACCCCGCTGACCTGTTCGCACCGCTGCACCTGTGGTGGTGCTGACTCAGTGCTGTACTGCAGCTTGTTACAAAGTCATTATCATCAGGTCATAAAATGAATCCATTTACACTGTAGGCTGGTGCTCATCATAGATAACCATAAGTTAACCTCATGTATTGCATAGACCCAACACATTAATATCAACCTAATCCCTGCTGTAAGACAACTTTAGTCTGCTGTTATGCAATTTCTACTATTTTTTCTGACTATATCAGACATGGGCAATGTGGAGTCAACAAGTCATCTCCATGTCATATATTTAATCTACCCAGCCAATTAACCAGGTGAGTCCAATCTGCACAGGTTAATTCACGGTGAAAATTGGACTCACCTGCTTCAGTGGCTGGGTAGAACAAATACATGACATGGAGATGACTTGTTGACTCCACATTGCCCATGTCTGGACTATATGTACATCAAATGATGCAAAAAATTAGGTCAATGGAAAGCAAAGTTTAGGTAAAACTGGTTGCCATGAAAAAGTTCTCCAAAATACATATCGTTAAGTTTGTGTATTATCAGAGTCGGCTTTAGTAAAGGGAAATTTAAAGAGAGATGAAGTTTCACTGTAGCTTTTGAAGTTGCAGAGAAATGAGAAATTTTAAATGATTTTTTTAGCCTTAAAACATTATAAATCTATTGTTAAGAACATTTAAAATACAGGTTAAGTTGTGCAAAGAAAGCTCCAAGAATGAAGCATGTTGAAAATAACTGTAAATATATGTAAAAAGCCAACTTTTATTTTTATTTTTTAGCTTCACTCCCTTGTACCATATTTCCAAATAGCTGCATGATTTTTCCTCTTATATCAGCGATCAGCCCCCCCTCCCAGATGTTGCACTCTCTTGTCTCAGCTTGTCCAAACCGGTTCTGGTGTTTCTGCTTCTGTGAGTCTTAAAAACCAGCGGATCGACTGATTTCTCTCTAACCTTTACAATTCTACGTGCCGAGGAAGACTGTATGACTCACCTTCACTCTCTTGTTCACCTTTCTATTCTAAGAGATAAGGCTACTGTAATGAAAACAAATATATATATACTTTTACGATTACTTATCAAACCAGGAAGGTGTTTCTTTTATAATTGTTAAGTAAACTTTACTAAAGAAACTTATAAAATCATTAAAAGTGTTTCCTAGATTTCAATAGTAGAAGAAACTCTGGGTTCTGCAGTTTGTTTAATCTTCTGTCTTAGAAAACAGAGAGTGCTGCAAAAGCATCACTCAATCAGGTCAAAT